TGTTAGAAAACATTCATCAGGACTGAAGATAACTCTTGTAATGTGCACTGCAGCGCTCCATTTCTGATGACAGTAGGGAAAATGACAGTGACTCACCAAATATTGTAAAACCAGTTCACATGGTGTTGTCTATGCACATATTATTGATGTGACTCACCCCAGGTGTCAGTGCGGTGACTCCCAATCGGCAGAGCACATCTCCCTTGTTGCTGATGGCCCACAGAGGAACCATGTCCACGCTGTTCTGATCAGCACACGGCAGGATGGTCACGTCACTCAGTGGGATGGGTGGGAGTTCTTGCCAGGGTCCAGTAGTGGTCAATTTACACTTCCTGTGCAGGAGGAAAAAAATACCGTTCACAGGTACTCTTGCAGTATCTGCAGGCAAAGAGGTGAGGTGTGACAAATGACTCAGGTTCAAGCCCAACCTAACTCACTTCTGTTGACAAGCAAACATGATGAAACACCCAGGTTCCAGAATGACACTTACCTGTTCATAACTAGACAACGCACGCACATTGTGAAACAGTCTAGTACAATATCAAAGTGTAGTCACTCGCATATTCTATACTATTTAAATATCTATAGTACTGTAAACATAGATGATTAACATTTTGTTAATTATTGCCTACTGATTAATCTATTGTCTCTGGCTTATCTGCTCTGCCAAATACCTACTGAATAAACACAACACACACACAAACTGCATGTCAAGTGGACTTGCCACTTTAAGACCACTGTGCACCTCCTGAACAAGTACTGCACTGTGGCAGTGTTGCTTTTTTATAGTACCTTGCCCATCGTCTGCGGCGCACAAAGTCCTTCATCGTTTTATATCCGTGATATGACCTGAGATGTGGAGGAGAGAGGAAGAATTGTAGAAAAAGTGAAATAAGTGAAGCTACCAGCAGGTGTGTTTGAGGAACGGCAAATGAAACCTACGCCGGAAAATCAGCGGCATACTGCCAGCCTTCTCTGTCTGTTCCTCCAGAGACACTGTAGTCAATAGCCCACTCGGACACCTGGAAACGGCAGATAGGAGAAGTGAAACATGATGAACATGTCTGCGTTTTTGACCACACCCCTCGTCTAGGATAATTCAAGACCAAATATTAATAGTCTTCTAACTAAAGCATGGTGGTAAACCTGCGTCCCACAGGACTGGTTACAGATCCCCCACTGTGCATAGCTCTGCTTACCCATGTCCACTGAGGGGAGAAAGCCTTGGTGCTTGTTTTTGTGCGCTCATGCAGTCCTGATGCGTCGCTCCACATGTAGCGGTCTGTAGGCAGACCTCTAACACAAAGCAAAACACACTTTACATGAGTCATGAGAAAGCTCATACTAAACTACTACAAACAACAGGTACTTTCACTGCAGCAGTAACGTTTGTCACATCAGAGTAATAGTAAAAGTTTGGACTAAATGAAATGTAATATTCCTCTTAAGTGTGAAAGTCCACTTTTAAGGATAAAAATCCTAAACTGGACTTTCAGCCTCACTTTCTACTGACAAAAATGTGTTTCATAGACACAAAGAGGGAAAACTTTCCTCTTCAACTTGAATCTCAGCGTTGTCTGGAGGGACAATGATACCTGCTGGTGTAGCCGGTGACCGGGTTCCACCTCTGGTTCTCATAGATGTAGACGCTCTTGACATCCGTCTGTGTGTAAATTAAATCTGTGCTGCTGGCCATGCCCTGGAAGAAGCCCCCTCCATAGCCCCCGGTGTAGACCCAAGCTGTGTAGTCATAGCCAATCCCCCACACGATGCCAATGCTGCTACACTCCACTATACGCAGGTGCCCTCCAACTTGTCGCCAGAACCTGCACAAAGAAAAGTTATCTATCAGAATGTTAATGTGATCTTCTTTCTCAAGGAACCACTGGTGTGTGGGTTATTCTTACATCTGGTCGCAGGGTGTGGGGTAAGGCAAGGCCTCCAGATGAGGAGAGGGCTCACTGACAAATATGTCTCCTTTACAAGTGATGGACCAGATGGCCTGTTTGGAGGGAGGGCCCTGGATGCCCCTGGAGTCACAGCATGACATACTCAACAATGCCAGCTGGACGCAGAGACAGGGGTGGAGACAGAGACAAATAAGAAGACAACAAAACGGAAATGGCAGAATGTGTGTGCAAATCACACAGACAATTCAGCAGGCAGTACAATAAAAACGGAAGCATTTGGATCAAAAACAGTAGTAAACTCCAAATACTAATTTATATTCCACACAACAGCAGACACACACAGCTGGGTTACAGTGTGTTCTCCCTCAAGTGTGACAAAATGCTACTGTGAGAATGAGACGTCTAATTCAAAACGCTGTGTAGGAGACATATGTACCCAGTCGTGCATCTCCAGCTCCGTGGCTGCTGCCACTCTGATTGGCCACCTCTGTTTGGTCCGCTCAGGAGTGTAGATAGCAAAAGTGTGTTTGGAGTCATTTAGCACAGGGACCAGGATGGTTACCTCATTGATAAAGGCATGCAGGTACTGAAGAGAATGACAGTGGAGACAGAGAGACGTTTTTAAAAAGTACATAGAGGAAGAAAGTGCAGTATGCTTCCTCAGAAAGGCAGGTGAGACAAGTATATCGTAGACAGCGAGAATCTGAAAACACACACACACACACACAAACTTCTTCTTCACCTTCTTCTCCTCATAAAAGTTGTAATAAATGAAAAGGATGCCGTCCTTGTTGCCGTCTGGTCCTGAGAATTGCTCCAGGGCAAAATGGACATCTACCCACTTGTGTGGCTTCCAGTCTCTCCACCACTGCATGGTTCCCTTCTTTACCCACACAGACTGTAACAGGAGTATTTGTGAATAAATCAATGAATGAAACTTCAAGGAAAGAAGAAAAGCAACTACATACAGACAGAAAAATATGCAACATAAAAAGAAAAACAGAAGTCACACAAAGACTGAGTACAGAAGCTGCAGCTGTTTGGCAGGTCATAACTTCACCTGCATGTACCTGTTCTATGGCCTGCTCATAATGTCTGAAATTATCCATTTCTCTCTTGGTCCTTTCACTGAGTTGCTCAAAGATTTGTCTCCGCCATGCTGCCGTCTGGGCTGGCGTGACAGACAGACTCATGGACTGGACCGACTGGATTAAAGCTGGAGGAAGAAGAGAAGAAAACACCTTAACAGAGGATACAGTTTTTAGGCGGCGAGCACTGGACAGCTTCCTCATTTAACTCACCTAAAGTGTTCATAGAGCAGTTGAACCAGGTGAGCTGGGAATGGCTGTCCACAGAGCAGCCTCCTCCGCTGACCCACGCCCACACAGGGTGCTCATCCACCCCATACAGATCATCCATGGCCAGAGTGTATGCAGCAACCGATGACAAGCTGCAGGTGTCAGCTGAGTCTGGCGCTCCCCCAGGCTGGACCTGCTGACTCTGTGCCTCCTCCAGGCCCACGTTACTCCACTGGTTAGGAGAAAGAGCTGGACCAGCACAAGGAGCTTTAAACTCTCCTTCTCTGGGGACAGTCTCCTCCTCCAGAACGACAGGAGCGGCAGAGCCAGCATCTCTTGAGCTCTTAGCTGGTTCTCGATCAGAGATGAGTTCAGAGATGAAACTGTCACTGGTGACTTTGGGGATGCGGGGTTTGGGTGCATCAGTGGGCTGGTCAGAGGTGCAGACTATGGGGGCTTCAACAAAGGATGCTGGGGCAGAGGTGAGAAGGCAGCTGGCTCCATCTGCTGTCCCTCCCTCTGCATCTGACTCCACATCACTCACTGCTGACTGTGCACGCACCTCACCACTGAAGAAACATCCTGCACTGTGAGACAAAGCGAGGGGAACAGGAACTGGATGATCAGCTAAAGCCGTTTTCTGCATCTTTCAGTGCTTGAAAAACAGTCTGACGGCATGAATTCTAGTCAAGTCATGGTTCTATGCGGTTTCTTTTATCTGCTCATGTTTGAATTTTTCCACCTCGTTCACATGTCCAACAGATAAGTGTTCACTTTGCTAATGCACTGAAACTGGTGTACGAGTGTGAACCATGTGTTCCCTCTAACTAAAACGCACTAAAATGTGTATGTGTGTTCGCTGAAACCACTCCACCTCTGCTGGCTGTCTGAGCTGGTGCGGGAGTGGGATCGATCTCCATCTCGGGGAACACTGATAACCTTCCAGGTTTTCCCACTCAGTTCACTGGAGGTCACACCCTGTCTGAAGTACACCGCCCGATCCTGGCAGCTGATACCCCACACCTAAACATGACAGCAACAGGCTGTCGTGAGTAAAGCTAAAGCAGACGGCTGAGACGGAGTTTTAGGTGTTCCTTTTTTCTCCTTTATAAATGCAATATATAATCTCATGTGAATGTAAATCACCTGGTCATTGAGTCCTACGTTGACCATGATCATTTCTCCAACCATGTTAATCCAGCCGGAGCCACAGGGGTTGTGGGAGTTCACGCCACGTCTAAACCACACCTAAAGAAACAGGCGAGTGGAGAAAAAGGAGGCCTTTTGCATAATACACACCTGCTCAGATACTATGGTTAATACCACTTTGGCCGTAGCTTAGAACAACACAAAATGTGTCCTAAAATCATTGATCTGTTTCATCTTTGGCAGTTATACTGTGCATCTCACCTGAACATTTCAGGGATCTATCTTCATTATAGGCCAAGTTATGGAGGACAATGTGTTAAATGGGGTTTTCAATGTCAACTTTAAACAGCTGTCAGATTTCGAATCTAGATGAAATTTGTTCTGGAGACAGACACTGCTATCCTACATACTAGGTGTGTCAGATTTCAAACAAAAAATGACTTTGATAACTGATCTGTTTCATCTTTGGCAGTTATACTGTGCATCTCACCTGAACATTTCAGGGATCTATCTTCATTATAGGCCAAGTTATGGAGGACAATGTGTTAAATGGGGTTTTCAATGTCAACTTTAAACAGCTGTCAGATTTCGAATCTAGATGAAATTTGTTCTGGAGACAGACACTGCTATCCTACATACTAGGTGTGTCAGATTTCAAACAAAAAATGACTTTGATAACTTCTGATTGAGATAGGATTTTTTTTTTTTTTAAATTACCCCATGTTAAAGATGGGGATTTTGTGTCTGTGTTATTTTTGTGGCCTTGACCTTTGACCCTTTTATGTCAACTTTAAACAGCTGTCAGATTTCGAATCTAGATGAAATTTGTTCTGGAGACAGACACTGCTATCCTACATACTAGGTGTGTCAGATTTCAAACAAAAAATGACTTTGATAACTTCTGATTGAGATAGGATTTTTTTTTTTTTTAAATTACCCCATGTTAAAGATGGGGATTTTGTGTCTGTGTTATTTTTGTGGCCTTGACCTTTGACCCTTTTCAGCCTAAATCTAATCACTTCTAGGACTGGTCCCCACTAATGTCTGTACCAAGTATGCTGATGATCCATCCAACCGTTTGTCTGTAGTCCTGCTAACCAACACACATGGAACCACAAACATAACCTCCTTAGCTGAGGTCATAACTAAAAATTTGAAAAAGAACTACAACCAAAAAAACCCATGAACATACTCTAGCTGTATAAAACAATACTTCCTGCTAATATTCTGTACATGGTCAGTGCAAGTATAGTAGATACTGTATTACTGATACTACATCCGGTTCATCACAGACTTTTCTTACTTTGTTGTCCTTTGTCACGGCCCACACAACATCAACTCCCACAGCTACATGTATGGCTCCCACCTCAGGACTGGGAGAGTCCACCACTGCCCAGGATATACCTGGATTGCAGAAAATATTATTCCGAATGCAGAAAATAAACATAATCACACTCAAAGCTCATCCTGCCAGAGAGCTAGTGTACCTCTGGGGCAATGTCGGCTGATGCCCTCCCTGACAATGAGCTGCCCCTCCCACAGCACTGCCCACACCAGGTCCCCAGGGCCGCAGCTGATCTGGACCACCTCCCCGGGAAGAGGCACCTCCTCCCACGCAGAGCCCTCAGGATTGTGGTGACAGATTCCCTCTCTGAACCACACCTGGATGAAGAGAAAGAAAATGAGCGCTTAGACAATCAAAAATGACAGCATTAAATCCACTTATCAAAGGTTTTCATTTACAAAGCAAGCCAGGTGTTATGAGCTGCATGTCAGCTGAGCAAAGTTATTCAAATAGCAAGATATGTTTACATAATTAGTATTTCTTTGTCAAGTATGCTACATCACATGCAGCACCATTTTCCAGCCCCAACCTACAGTAAAATGTCACCACACTGACCTTGAGACAAAACACCCTGAATCTTGTCCTCACCCAGGCAAAGAGCAGGTATTTGGTGGTTTGACACCGAGTCCTGCACGGGTCCAATATTGAAAACCTGCACTTGCCCCATAACCCGGAGTTCTCTGGAAAAGCCTCTGTTGATGGACGCAGCACCTTGGCTCTGCAGCTGTTCCCTTAGTGACAAAGCACCTAGCTCACAGCTATTAAATGCTAAGACTTTGTGGCACTGCTTATAAGCAACGTTGTTCTCATTGTCTGCAACCACACCAAATTTCTCCCATATGTCTGACTTGGCCTTCGATAATGTATTGTCCACAATTTTGTATCCACTACTGGCCATTTTCACTTTTAGGTTATCCAGTTTGACACACTGACGCCTACACTGATATCTGAGTGATGTCCTAGCTGGATTTAAGTTGAGGGGTAAAAGGTTGTGCCGTAGGCCAGTGTTTCTCACGGGGTGGGTCACGAGAGACATGGTGGAAAAAAACCAAATTGTTTTTGAGAGTGATATATTGTTGTGGATTCAAATGCTTAGGTAGTATCTAACGTGGGGCTTTTGTTTTGAAATGCATGCATGTGTGATATGCAGAGGCCTAACCTTGCCATGACAAGCCTTGATTGGCGGTTGACAGTGTACACTCACCGAAGATAGGTCCACTTGTTAAGAAGATGGCAAAATATGATTCGGACTATGTTAAGTATGGATTTACTTACATAGATGATAAAAATGGACATAAGCTTCAATGTGTGATATGCAGTGAAGTAGTGGCACAAGAAAGTATGAAGCCGTCCACATTAAAACACCAGTCGAATACTTTCAAAGACTACTTCGGGACCTGAGGACCAACCAGAAGACACTGCTGTCCTTGTGTTCCAAATCAGAGCAGGCACTACGGGCCTCATGAGACTATGGTTTTTTAAAAAAAAAAGCTTTATAATTTAATTAATTTATTTGAAATCCTGTACTGGTGGGTCGCAACTTGACAAGTGGGTTGGAAAGTGGGTCCCAGGGTGACACCAGCTCAGAAACACTGCCGCAGGCCCTCACAACAAATGTACTGGTTATTTAGGCTTGATAAAATTGAAGCTGCACCTTTATTTATTTACTTTTTAATTTAAATGTTTATTTCATTTGCTATGCTCGCACTGAGTCTATTTTTATCCGTGCATTATTATAAACATTTTTTACCTGATACATAACATTTTTTGCGGGTAACTGAAGCGGTGCAGGACTCTGGTTTGACACATATAATATCTGCATTGTATTTGCTCAGGTTATACGGTGGCTATACAGTCTGACTGGTTTGTTAGGCCATTGACCTCAAAGCCCTGTATGCATGTATGAGCATTTTATAAATTATATTTCACAAAAACAAATTCCAGACAATGTGTCGCAGTGTGAAAGCAAGGACAGAAAAATACTTTATTTATGCAAATTACAGCCTAATCAGTACTTGAAATACATTGTCATGGATACCTAAAGCTAAGGTTGATGGTAAATATGTGTGTGTATATATGAGCTGTACCTTGCCCTGCAGGGACACGGCCCACAGCGACAGCTGGCCCCTGGGCTCCTCACTAATCTCCCAGCCTCCACAGCTGATGTCGCTGAAAGGATCTGGTAGGGAGCTCTGATGCAAGGGGATCTGTCAGCATGCACAGGAAGACAAACACAGGTGAGCAAACTAAGAGGCTTTACAGACACAAACACACAAGTTACACAATTTACCTTAGCCCAGGTGTCCATGGCTTGGTACCTCCTGTAGCGGAGCCATCGCCTACGACGAACACAGGAGTTCCACTTCTTGTCTTTGGTGTAAGTGGCAGGGAAGTCCATGGCATAGGTCCACCCCTAAAAAAAAAACAACCCTCAGTCATTTAAAAAATGCAATGCTGGAAATGATGGTGTAGTAAGAAATGCAAGGCCAAGAATAAATAAATAATCAGTGGCCACATACCCCCTTTTCAGTGGGCTCTCCCTCAAAGTTTTCATCCACGTACCAGTTGCCCTCCCACTCCCACCAGACGGAGGGAAGCTGAAAGCTGCCCAGAGGTTGATGCTGCAGACCAGTGACATCACTCCACTGCCAGCGGTCGCTTGGCAACAGGTGCTCCGAAAAACCATCAACGGGATTCCATCGCTGACAGAAGGACAGACAGAGATGGGGAGTCAGATCACACACTGCATCAACACAAACAAAAGGAACCTGTTTATTACATCACTTGTGGTCACCCCACACAATCCAATCCAAACACCTCCCGGTCTGACTGTGTCTGAACAATCTACTGACCAACATTACAAACAACAAGCTAAATCTAACTGGTAGCTTACCACATGATTGTCATGTGTTTGTAAAGACACAGTTGACAGTCTGCTGGAGGTAGTAACAGAGGAAGTGGGAATGTTGCACTTACTTTTCATGGGGAACTTGTGCATTTTCAATTTGACTTGAGATACTTTGTGCAAGAAATGAAGCATAGCCGTAGAAAAATAAAAAGGCAATCTTAACCTCTTTTCTTTGTGTACTGTAACCTTGTCTGCAAAAAGACTTACTTTCCAAGTTGTACACTACGTAGTCAGTGGCGTCCTGATTGACTCACTTGATTTTCGTAGGTCTCCTCCTGGTAGCGGACGGGCAGGTCAGAAGCGTGAAGGTTCAGGTAGATGTTGTTGTCGCAGGCGATGCCCCAGCAGCACTGCTGAGCCGCTGTCAACCGCTTGAACTCTGTCTGGGCAATATGGCACTGCTCCCAGTGCTGCCCTGCCGTCGACAGGCTGTAGACCCTCCCGTACACATCCACTGCCCACAGCAGGGAGACGGGCATGGCTGCACCCGGACCCTGGGGAAGGCGAGGAAGAGAGAGGGTGAATGTATGTCGACTGATTATATACTGCAAGTGTGAATGACAGCAATGTGAAATGTAGGTTGCAGATGCTCGTAACAAACGTGTACAGTAAAGCCAGGTTCAGGCTCTACAGGATAACACTCAGTTTGTTCTGGTGCAGGCTTACAAGCTTATCCCTCTAGAAATAACAAATTAACAGTTAAAAGACACCAACCTTGAACTTCCTCTCATAAACCGTGAAGCAACACAAATCTGATGTCAGCGCTGTTTATTCAACAACCGGAAATGAATGACCTGCTGGCTGAGCCATACTGGACGCATTTTCTTCTTCTTCTTCTTCTTGTTTTGATTGGCGAACGGGAGCTGAATTTCGCTCCTGAAACAGGAAGTGTTTCTATTCGGCTGTGGCGTCCAGCAGGGGGCGCCGCTGCCTATTGTTTCAAAGCAGACACCTGGAAGCAAAAGACCTACATCCAGTGGAAAGTACTTGCATTTACAATTTAGAGGAATCGGCACTTGTGCATTTTTTTTCTGCTACTTTTTACTTCAGCTTCACCAGTTTAGTGGTAAATATGGTCATTTTTACTCCATCACATGTATTTGAGAACTTCAGTTACTTTTCAGGATCAGATTAATAAAACCAGATTTGATCATCACTAGTTACTTTGATTATATATATATTGCACACCCACACAGATGTTTTTAGTTATGTGGTTGAGTAGATCCGCTGATGATGGGAGCTTTGCAGAGCTCTGCTAGGTGTTTTATGAGTTCACCATTAGGAACTCATGAAGGAACTATTGCCACAACAAAATTAACAGGAGAGCCCACTGAAAAATCTAAATTTCAATGAATGATGTAATCACAAAAAATATATGACATAAATGAAAAGCAGTTATCTGTCAGAAAAACAACACATTTTGGCATCAGATGTGCCACAGTGTGTTTAGGTTGACAAGTTACAGTCAGATGCAGCTTGATGTATGTGAGGAAAAACCAAACTATTCTTATACTAGAAAATTAATTGATCACTCTGAAAGAAACCAAAAACTGACTATATACAATATGTATACTGTATCTTTAGATACAGTGTAACAAATTCTTATGGGGGTGTTATAATATTGTCTATAAAAGTGTGAGAGAGACCTTAAACCTTTATAGAAGCCAGTAAGAGAACTGAAAAAACAAAACAAAATTAAAATTATATATGCAGATTTTTACTTTATTGAGAAAAAAAAACTACACTGGTCAACACAGTGGCAAGGTTCTCTGAAGAAAGCATGTGGCAGTAACTATGTCAGTATACAGGGTTCCACACATCAGTGGGTCTATGAGGACCAATAAACTGCTTCATCAATGTGTTTCTCATTATACAAGACACACTCTGTAAAGCGAAAACATGGCAAAAAGTCATTCTCCTCACAAAATATTTAATACTCTGTAGATTTCAAACAACGACCCACCTTATTTACATACAATGTAAATGTCTACCAGTAGGGTACATTTTTATTTTGCATTGCACAAAGAATCTACATTAAATAGCAGTGATACTATGAGTGAAAAACATTACTTTCATCAAAATGTCATTTAAAATACACACTAGCTCTCAAATCAAAATCAATGTGGGATCCAGGGCCTTGACTGAGCACAGGGTGCCTTCACATATTGTATTTACATTTCTCATACAAACACACGGTGGCACAGTGGTTAGCGCTGTTGCCTCACAGCGAGAATGTTCCGGGTTCGGGCCCCACCCGGGACCTTTCTGTGTGGAGTTTGCATGTTCTCCCTGTGCTTGTGTGGGTTCTCTCCGGGTACTCCAGCTTCCTCCCAAAGACATGCAGCTTAGGTTGATTGGTGACTCTAAATTGCCCATAGGAGTGTGTGGTTGTTCATCTATGTGTTAGCCCTGCGATGGATTGGCGACCTGTCCAGGGTGTACCCCACCTTCACCCGATTGCTGGCCAGGATTGGCTCTGGTGACCCCGTTCAGGGACTAAGCGGTAGAAAATGAATGAACACACGGTACTGTATATAAATAACCTTGTAATTTTAAACAGTGTCGTACTGTTTTACCTTTATTCAAATGACAAACCCTTTTCCCATCACATCTATCTCCCATCATTCTCACAACCTCTGTATTCCTCTTTAAAATGGACTAAAATAACTATAATAAAAATAGAAATAAAATATATTTTTGGCAAGTCAGGAAGACAGCCTGGGTGCTAGTCCATTTCATCAGTATCAGGTCCATCTCATTTACATCTGGAGCTCTTCATTTTACACCACTGCACTGACTGGCATATAAACAAGTCTGAAAAGACCTTATGGCACGTCTGAGCATGTAAGAGGCAATCTTAAAGGGAAACTTCACCCTAAAATGAAGATGCAGGTTTTACTGCCTAATTTGATTTTTAGCAGAAAGAGATTATGATGTTTGACTATCGGACTCACTGCATGACGCATGTTGTAGTTTCATCTCAGCCTCATATTACTCTGCTAAAAGCAGCTTACATCCTGAGACCTTTACTGTAATTCATGTGCTCCGCAGCCACAGGATTACCCTTGTGGGTTTTTACACTTTCTTTTTCAAAAAGTTACCCCTGTTACTCCTGTTACTTTGGAAAAAAGCTGGGATGTTTGAGATGCACCTACATTCAGCAATCCAAGTTTTCATTGTTCATGGATAAAAGCCTACATTTTCATACTGGGCTGAACTGTTACTCCAAACAGCAAGTGGCTGAATAACATTTTCAAACACTGCACTACAACATTTTTCAGGATATCTCGTTTCTCCATGTGTTGATTATGCAAAGTTTCCCTGTTGTGGCTAATGTAAAACACACATTGGTGTAACACAACCTTGTGCCCAGAAACGATGGACCTCTTTAATGGATTAGACTGGTACTGAGAGAGACTAGCATGCAGACTAGAGAGATGTCAGGTAGGGGTGATATTCAGTGTGTCACAGGGGTCCCATGTTGCATAATTCCACAGAAGGCATGACAGGGTCGAACATCCTCCTGCTGTGTTAGATGGCTGGTGCTGATCTGTCATTCGTGACAGTTGGCCTCAGCTTGACTGTGGCGAACGGATTCCCTCCTCTACACAGAGAAAATTGTTGAAATTAGCTCACACCCACCATTTAGTGATTATCAGTCAACTCACACATATTGGGTTACAGTCTGTGAGTTTTTGTTACTTGTTTTTGGTCACTCACCCTAGAAATGGAGCCTTTGCAGTCCCGTTGACTAAAGGAACCTGTTGTCAGAAAACACAGAAGACCCTTGAAGCAAGATCCAGTGGACAAAGAGAAATAACAGCCAACAATCTACACACATGACCAGAGGCATCACAAACCCACAACCTCCCACCACCTGTGAAGAAAGGCAGTGCTGTCCGACTGGTTTGAGAAGATTTCTCATCAACAGTTGCCCTTACTTCCTTCTTCCACATCAGCACAGTGGAGCTTTGGCACATGCCTACGATACAGCCTCAGACTTCACCAAGTCTGGAATCTAGACATTCTAGAAAGGCTGGTGTTTTTCTCTCACATGAGGATGATAAAAACCTTATCATTTCAACGGAGCAATGCGAGCAGGGGAAATATAAAAAGCCCCGAGGGTATTTTAGTCACAGATTTGCTTATAGCGTGCTGTTAAGTTGTAAATAATTTTTACAGTGCTACAGTAGTTTGTAGGTCAACCCACACATTTGCTGTTAAGTATGACGATTTCATTTTAAATTGTACTTAAACTAATATTTTTTCCATGAATTTATTTAGTGTTCAGAGCCAAAATAGTAGAGGAAGCCTGTTACAGGAATTATTCAACTTTTCAGATGCATATCTTCTGTAGTATACCTCTGTTACCAAGCTTATTAAAAAGGCCTTTATTGCATTACTAACTGCGAAAAAACAAAACAAAAGAAAAAGATGCTTTATCCTTGTCTGCCAGTAGAGAGCAGGCAACATCCAGAAGTCACCAAGCATGCAGCCACAGTGGCACTGAAATTTTGATTCCCTGGACTTTTGGGCCACACCACGTCCTAGCTTGTGTAAACACACTTACATTTCTGATTAAAGGATCCACAAATCAAAACAAAAACAATATTTAAACTGTACCGTCTGCTGGTTTCCTGAGTGTAAGGGACTAAAAATGTCACTGAGAATCCTTGCTTTTTATACTCTAACATAACATTAGTTTTAAAAAGCAAACATTCAGAGCATTCGTAATGTGCCAGACTGGACTATGTTCTCAAAAACTGGTGTTAAAAAGAACCAGGCAGAGAGACGAAATGCACCGATTCCTTCTTTTGGAAAGGTATATCCCTCATAGTGTAATTTATTTCATGGTGAAACCCTGAGGCAGCAGATTCAAAGGACACCGAGTACAGACGGAGCAGCCAGGAGGGTGATGATGAGGGAGAAACAAGTGTGCCTGGGCTTGTCTGCAGCCCGGACAACTAGTAATTCATTTTCAACCAGCTGACACAGTACAGGCACAAAATGAAATTGTGTCTGTAACCTACTGTCCTTCATGCCTACATCTCTAACTCTCTCCTTCTCTTCTGGTCTCTCCATTACTGAACCAAGCCTGGCAAACCTGGCTGGGAACATTTTTCAGATGTCTTTTTCAACATTTTCGAGCCAACACCTCTCTGCTCTGTTTTACAGTGTTCCTATTTGCCTAATCAAATATGTACCAGCTGCAAAATTGTAAGTACGACCCATTAGAATGCAAATATCACATCCTTTAGGGAAATAATCATCTCGCTGAATAGAGTAAACTTCCTTGAACTGGTTACAGGAATTGAGGTGCAGTGTTGTCTTAAGGGTGTGGAGGCAATGACTATGAATGTAGGAGATGATAAGGCGTAATTAGTCAGACTATAGGTATGACGTGTGATGGGATTTTGTGGCCATGTAGTCTGAAGTTGCTTAGGCAAGGCAATAAAGATATCCTATCAGGAAACATAAGACTTTTTCTAGAATATGCGGCAGCTCCCATTTCATAGACAAACACTGCAGCTGCCCAGTACAAAGTCCTCTACAGTGCAGCTCTATTGTAGCAACCAAAGACTTGGTGGCAATATCAATAAAAAGAAGAAAGAAAAGAAGAAAAGAGAGAACAAAGCTTGCCTCTTGTTGACTTAACCTAACTAAACTAAAGCTACATTTCCCTAACTGGATTCGATAAGGTCAGTCACTGGCCTCAAACACATTTCTTCCTCGTCTTCATACTTTTAGCATACATTTAGCTAGCAGTGCCGTGCATTAACTAGGATTTAACATATTGGGTACATCTAAAATTGCCTACTAGCCTAGTAGTATGCCCAAGGTTGTGCTTACTAGACGGTGAAATGGCTGGGGTGCCTACTGCATTTTCATTTTTGTAGTAGACATTTGATGGAAAAATGTATGTTCCCATAGTTTGATAAGTCAAGTAAAAGTGGTTTGGCAAAGCCAGGCATCTGTAATTTATATCGTCGCTAGGAAACAGGATGTGATGGGAGGGGCAAAGAGCAGTTAGGAGTCTCACTAAACCCTCTAGTCACTGAAAAGGAATAAGATAGCTTTAAGGTTTTTATATTTGCATTTTATACTGTAGTACATAACCTCCATCATATAAACAAACAATAATAATAGCAATAATTTATTTATTGGTATTTATTTGTCCATTTCCTACTGTATCCTCGCCTAATTATTTACAGTAGGCTGATGAAACGGATTTCCAACTGAAAAACAAAAGATCTTGCAGGTTTAAAATACACCAGACTTCACCAGGTGGGGTTGTACTCATGCAGGTGCAGGCACTAACCGTGTTCTGCACTGTGCTAAAGGGGGTGTCATCGCTGTAGTCTGGCGGTGGCAGCAACACCGGCTCCTCCTCCCCCTCTGGCATTGGTGTGTCCAGATTGCTGTGAAGACATAGGACACGAAGCTTCAGATATGAGAACATCAGCTGTAAAACAAGTTATTGATTTACTTCTGGATATGCTTTAATGTTTTCATACCTATTTGATATTGCTGACTCAGTACAAGGTCTGCAGTAAGATGAGGGAAACCAGCCCCGCCTAATAGGACAACACACATACCACAACATCAGAAACATCATAAAACAATTTAAAGAAATTGTTGGCCATTTTGGGAAACACACTTTCTTATCTAGGGATGTCTCTATGGCAAATATGAAGCTGCTGCCAGTAGACTGGAAACACTGGGAAGCTGCTCGCCTGGTTCTAACTGTGCTAGAGGTGGATTTTGTTTTGTATTGTTTTCTTGTTTGTTTCCCTTTATTCACAGCCTCTGTGCTATGCTATTCAGTATGCTTCAGCCTGGTGGGTCTTATGACAATATAAAATCAGTTCTGCTAAAATGACTGAACATCTCTGAATTATGTGCAGTCACTGGACATCATGTGCTAACTGATCAGATAACTGTGTCACAGCAGAAAAACAAATATTGTCATTCTGAATGCATACGAGAGCATAAATATACTCAGAGATTTTGTTCACTAAGACTCAGAAGTTGTCTCCAAGTCACGTCTAGCAAAAAGCTGAATTATCAGACCACTGCAATAGATTTGTTGCTAAGAAACAGAATGTACTGTGATTTACCCCAACATGCCCTCTTCTTGACAAATGGCTACTGACCGCATTAAAACCACTTCAATTCAAAAGGCCACTTAATGACACACACAAACCCAGGGAGCAGATAAGGCTCGCTTTAATTTGTTTCAAAGTGGGAATGGAAAAGACACACTCTGTGAGCAGTGTGTAATCCTTTTGCCTGCATTGAGTGATAACTGTAATTACACAGGCTACCTTACAGGCTTGTGCCACAGCATCTACATATACAAACATGACTTCTTGTACATAAACACTCTCAAACTTCATCATTTGAGCAACGAGTCACACAATGCTAACAGGTGTGATGTCTGTTTGTACAGGAGAACATTAAGCATTTGGTTTAGCACCTGAAACATTTTTCTCTCGACTGTCTGGAGGTGACATGAAGTCTTAACTCCTGTGCAACTGTGTGAATTCACCTTTTCAGAATCATGTGTTAATGGGAAAAACAGTCAAGCATTTGCTTATTGTTGGGTGAAATATACAAGATGACATGCTTCTTGCTTGTGTGTGTGGTGTTATTAGAGACAGAGAGCTTTACATCTGGCACACTGAACATACCGGTCATACTCTGTGTTTCTAGGCATGGTGTGCGGAAATATGAAGAAACAAAGCATACACTAGACCTTAGATATGTGAAACACGCCAGTGTGGTAGTGCTGCTGCATATTTGTTGTAATGAAAGGAAAGTTCCTCATGTGGGTGTGCCAATGGTTGTATGTAGATTTTAAAAAGCCCTATATACTGTACACTGTACAGCTAGGTTACAAAGAGCATTGGCATAATTGTATGTTTTTGTTATTGTCAACAAATCCAATGAAATGACCAAAACCAACTAAAGGTTCTAACCTCTCCAGGCTGTCTGCGGCTCTTGACTCAAGCCCAGCGCTTCTTACTGACAACAGTTATGGACTATTTTCAGTGGCGGATTATTACAGCATTGATGCATTAGGGATTATTTACAGCGCAAAAGCAGCTTATTGTACATTATGTGGAATATAAACTACAGTGTGACTTCATGGTAAAGAAGTGCAACAGTGTGACTCACTGACGACAATAATACAAATTTTGAACATCACCTCATGTCCTTTAAAACTAGAGATACTGGGATGAATAAAAAGACTGGCAAACTGTGACTGATAATGAGACAACCACTGTGAACTGAGTTGAGGTATATACTGTATATCAACATATGCCTGAATATGAAAACAGCTTGAAACTTACTGCCCTGTCTTCTCCAGCTCTCCGTACAGCCAGCCATCCCTCTCTTCCTGGATGAGCAAATTAATGATGTCGCCTTCGTGGAAGTTGAGGAGTGTGTCGCTACTCGACGTGTGGGGAAAGATGGTTCTCACCTGGAGCTTCCGACCCATGTTGAGACCAGACGACTGGGATATAGACCGAGACAGACTGTCCCCTCCAAGACTGCCCTGGTCTGGAAGAAGCAAACAATCACAAGTACAGATTAGAGATGTGATCATGGTTGGCAGCGGTCAACACTTCACAAATCTTAGTCAAAACTTCACAGATCTCACAAATGTCAGATTATTCCTTTGAAATCTAATGTGTCTTCTCATTTTGACAAAACCTGGGAGAAGAAATCCACACCTGAGTTATGGTCTGAAGAGATGCTGCGCAGAGATCTGGGGTCAGGGTTAAACATACTGGCTAGCTGACTGATATGAGCCTTTTGCGGTGGTGCTGGAGGAGGCCCTGCAGGCTCCCTGTTGTTCTAAAGAGATGACAAAGAACATGGTCAGATGTACTCATCTCACAATACTCATTGGTGATATTGAAATCATAACAAAGGTTGTATTTAAATTACCTCAGAGACAGCAATAAAGTCTTTGTCAAGGCAGTGATTTTTAGCAGTCGTTACTGTGATTGAAGCTTAGGCCTACACAGCAATAAACAATTCTAGCCCTAAAACATTCAGTGGACTTTAACAGAGGGTGACAAGAACAGCACATGCAGCGTTTCCCATGGCTGACAGCCAGCTAATGATAACCGGCCACCTCTTAGCAGCTTTCATCTGGTACAACAGATGTCAACATCTTTGAAAGACAGACTATGAGCAAGACTAGAGCCAGTCATCTTTAAATGACTTGGTCTACTTATCTACTATTTGGCCATGCTTTTATTCATCTTACAGTAAGATATCAAAGTGTGTAATCAAAAGCAACAGGTCTCTCTTAAAAAACAGACATTTCAGCACGACTTTTGCAATCCATACCTGACCAGCTAAAACTCACCCTGTTGTAGTGTTGTACCAGTGGCGATTGTTCTGGAGTGGCGGACAGCTCCTCGATTATGTTCGACATCGTGTCAGGCATGGTGATGTCGCTGCACTTTTCCTGCCAGCCGGGGAGTTTCACAGCCAGAATGTCTTTAGCCTGAAAGAAAGAAAGTGAGCAGG